TCCCGGCCGGCTCCCGCGGCGTTCCCGGCGCCGCTCCGCGCGCTGAGGCGCTTCCCGTGGCCCGCAGATGGTGACGCTCTTCCAGATGTGGGTGGTGCCGCTCTACTTCACGGTGAAGCTCAACTGGTGGCGCTTCCTGCTCATCTGGCTGCTCTTCTCGGCCGTCACGGCCTTCGTCACCTTCCGCGCCACCCGCAAGCCCCTCGTGCAGACCACGCCCAGGTGGGTGCCCACGGGCGCGCGCCGCACGGCCTCCACACACCGAGGTCAGCCGGCCTCCGCACACCGAGGTCAGCCGGCCTCCACGCAGCGAGGTCAGCCGGCCTCCGCACACCGAGGTCAGCCGGCCTCCACGCAGCGAGGTCAGCCGGCCTCCGCACACCGAGGCTGCGGTGCCTCCACACAACGAGGCCATTGCGGCCTCCGCACGACCAGGTCAGCCGGCCTCCACGCAACGAGGCTGTGGTGCCTCCGCACAACGAGGCCATCGTGGCTTCCACACACTGAGGCTGCTGTGGTGCCTCCACACAACGAGGCCATCGCGGCCTCCGCACGACGAGGTCACCCAGCCTCCACACAATGAGGCTGTCACGGCCTCCACACAACGAGGTCACCTGGCCTCCACACAATGAGGCCGTCACGGCCTCCGCACAACGAGGTCACTCGACCTCCACACAACGAGGCTGTGGTGGTGCCTCCGCACGACGAGACCCTCACGGCCTCCACACAATGAGGCCATCATGGCCTCCGTACACTGAGGCTGCTGCGGTGCCTCTGCACGATGAGGCCATTGCGGCCTCCGCACAACAAGGTCACCCGACCTCCACACAACAAGACTGTCGCGGCCTCCACACACCGAGGTCACCCGGCCTCCACACAACGAGGCCATCATGGCCTCTGTACACTGAGGCTGCTGTGGTGCCTCCACACGACGAGGCCATTGCGGCCTCCGCACACCGAGGTCACCCGGCCTCCACACAATGAGGCCGTCACGGCCTCCACACAATGAGGCCATCGCGGCCTCCACACAACGAGGTCACCCGGCCTCCGCACACCGAGGCTGCTGCGGTGCCTCCACACAACAAGACCGTCGCGGCCTCCATGCCCCGAAGTCACCCGGCCTCCACACACCAAGGCTGCTGTGGTGCCTCCACACAATGAGGCCATCGTGGCCTCCACGCAACGAGGCCATTGCAGCCTCCACGCACCGAGGCCGCCTGGCCTCCACACACCGAGGCTACTTAGCCTCTGCATATTGAGTCTGCCATGGTGCCTCCATACACTGAGGCTGCTCAGCCTCCACACACCGAGGCTGCTGCGGCCTCCGCATACTAAGGCTGCTGTGCCTCTACACGTCGAGGCTGCCCAGCCTCCACACACCGAGGCTGCTGCGGCCTCCGCATACTAAGGCTGCTGTGCCTCTACACGTCGAGGCTGCCCAGCCTCCGCACACCGAGGCCACCGCACGGGAGGCTACCTGGCCTCCACACACCGAGGCTGCCGCGGCGCCCTGAGCCGCCCGGCCTCTCCCCTTCCAAGCCTCCCCTCCCGTTTCCCGCGCGCGTCCCACCGCTCGGGAGCGGCCGCGGCCTCCGCGGCGCCTCCGCCCCGGGGGCCTCCCCGCAGCCTCGTCCCCGCTGGGCCTCCTTTGCAGGCTGGTCTATAAGTGGTTCCTGCTCATCTACAAGCTCAGCTACGCCACGGGCATCGTGGGCTACATGGCCGTCATGTTCACGCTCTTCGGCCTCAACCTCCTCTTCAGGTGAGCGGCTCCTCGGGGAGGAGGCTCCGCTCCGGAGCTCGGCACCAGGAGGAGGGGAAGGGTGGGAAAACCGGGACAACGCGTGTCGGGGAGGGAAGGGACCTTTGGAGAGCAACCCAGTCCATCCYGGCGCGTTGGGAAGGTCTCCAGAGCAGGAGCCTCCCTGGGCAGCCTGTTCCCGGCCTCCGGCACCGCCACGGGATTTCTCCCGGAGTCCCTCAGGTCCGGCCGTGCTTGAGGATCYGCCTCCTCCCGCTGCAGGATCAAGCCGGAGGACGCCATGGACTTCGGCATCTCGCTGCTCTTCTACGGGCTCTACTACGGGGTGCTGGAGCGGGACTTCGCCGAGATGTGCGCCGATTACATGGCCTCCACCATCGGGGTGAGTCCGGGCCTCCACCACCGGGGTGAGTCCAGGCCTCCCGCCGAGGGGGCTGGTAAAGCGGCTGGAGCTTCCGCCTCTTCCCAAGGGAAGCGGCGTCCGAGCGTCGCCTGCGGACGGGATCCCGCAGCCGGGATTCGCCCAGGGCTCCCGGGCGGCCTCCAACCTCCTCAGGTCTCTGTCCGGAGCAGTGGCCGATGCTCCGGAGGGCTCTGACGGGCTGGAGAGCAGGAACCTCCTGAGGTCCCACCAGGACAAGGGCAGGGATGAGGGGTTGGCCTGCTGGAGAGCAGCTCCATGGAGAGGGACCTGGGGGTCCTGGGGACACCAAGGTGCCCATGGGGCGGCCCAAGGAGGCCAATGGGCTCCTGGCTGCATCCGGAGGCCGCTGGCAGCAGGGCAGGGAGGGGATCCTGCCCCTCTGCTCCGCTCTGCGGAGGCCAAAGCTGGAGCCTTGGGGGCAGCTCTGGGCTCCCCAGGACAAGGGGCACGTGGAGCTGCTGGAGAGGGGCCAGCGCAGAGCGAGGAAGATGAGGAAGGGGCTGGAACATCTCTCGTGTGAGACTGAGTTAGTTGGGGCTGTTGAGGCTGGAAAAGAGGAGGCCGAGAGGGGACCTGGTCAGTGTGTGCAAGCAGCCGAGGGGAGGATGGAGGCAGGAAGGGG